ATATAAAGGGGTAAATGTCTGCTGTGTAAGTCATTTTAAATGGAGGTATGTAAGCTATGTAAATCACAACGGATCAAAGGAAATGCTCCGGAAATGAACAGTGTAATCTGTGACAAAGGAAGGCTTTATGCACAGCCCTGTAATAATGTGATTGTTATCCTTCTTACCTTGAGTCTACAGAAAGCTGGTACTGGGGCTTTTTGACGGAGAATCGGCTAATGGAGTTGAACACTGGGATGGTTCAGCCCGAATGACCCAATGACACCCCCCGGACAAAGTGATATTAAAGCCCCCCTTAGTACTTACGCTGTCTGTGCATATGATTGTACATCAGAAGGGGTTTCTAGCTTTGCTTTAGGAACAGTGCAGTATATATTTGCAGCATATTTACCGTAGGAGTACCTTGTTTTGCACATATTTTCTTATTTATTCTTGAATTTATTCCTTTGATATTTATTTTATTATTGATTTTCAATTAAGTATGTATTGTTTTTTTACTTATGCCATCCTGTGTTGTATTTTTTGCTGTGCTATTAAAAAAAGAACTGATCTCATGCATTATAATCATCTAAAGATGAGTTTATGTCAGCGGCTCATACAGATGTAGAAGCATATCTTCCATTTCAGAAACATGTACAGTACTCAGTGATAAATCCTGAGTTACTGCTGAAACTGGGGGTAGAATCTCACTGTAAAACCACGTCCGACGGTCTTTTAGCTTAACTGAAGCATCCAGACGTGAAAATGGAGTTAAAGAGTTAAACATGATATTATGTGTTTGTTATGAATGTTGAAACACTTGTAAGAACAATTTATTTATCAGCGCTGGTGAAGACAGCCATGTAGTGCAGATCCCTGCAAGGGGACATACTGTCATACCATTAGGAGATGTTCTGGAAAGATCTGTGATCTGAAATTGCTTGTAATTTTGACAAGCACAGTATCCTATGTGTGTGAGTTGGGCCCACCTGACTGTGGTAGTTACCAGTGATTATGTTGTGGCCTCTGGGCTCTTCAGAGGAAAGTGGTCGAGATTGTCCCCTGTCCTTCAGCCTGTAGAGGCTGCATATACCGTACCACCCACCTCCTTCCATAATATGGAAGACAGACAAGCAGCATTTTATAAGCTTTGGAGATGAATTATATATTCTGTTTGCTTCAACAAAGAGATTAGTTGATTATCCTGCTCATAAAACCGTCTTGACTAGAATGATGAGGGCGGGGGGGCGAGAGCAGGTCTAAAAAAGGAAATGAAAAAAAGTGTAACCGAAAAGGATTTTCTTGCTCTCCTCATGGGTAAAATAATTAAGCATGAGTGGATTAGCCTGCAGTCCATGCATGAGTCCTTGTAACTTGACAGGAAGTCAAATACCTCCGTGGGGAGGACTGACAAGCTGGTGGGTGACAGATGTTGCTGTGAAGCGCATCAGGTAAGGCCTCTCATTGGCCGCCGTCAGCATCATGTGACTTACTGTAGGCAAGCTTGTTAGGCACAGCCTGAGTATAAGACTCTAGTATCTAGTGCTGTTATACATGTGGACTCAAGTTTCAGAACTGACCTCCTTACCTGTACCAGTCGGGTTACCTTCCTGCCCTTTGTCATCCAACACAAGGTACAGACACTGATTGACTACGCAACTGGCAAGAAACAGCTCCGGGCTCATGTTTGGGATTCCGCGATTTCTTAGGGATTTTGCAGATGGCAGTGGTTTAGTCTAGACTGGGAACGTGGCCGTCTGTAGGGTGAGGGTACAGCAGCAGTGTATCAGTCACTGACTCCCAGAGTCTCTTCTGCAAAAGTCTGCTCACGTTGTGTTATTAGTTTCCTGACCAAAATTGATTTTCTCATGCAGCTGTTGGTGAGGAACTTGTCGGCTTGTCAGTTTAATTCCTTTGCTCCTCTGGAGTCGGGTTGGGGTGGGGGGGAGGCAGTGGGCCTTGAGCTGGAAGAATTTTTCAACCCCGGGGTCTTGTCAGTCTGTCTGGTTCAAATCTGGGTGCCCATCAGCTGGCCTCACTCTCCCAGACACACTAGGGATAGCAGGGCTAGGCTAAGCTAAAGCTGATCTGTTTAGTTTATGCGGGGTAAAAGGATGTTAGATTTGACAGATTTGGCTCAGCGTCTAATCCTATGGTATTGAATCCTTTGGTTAGACCCAGAACTGAGAGAGGGAAAGAGAGAGTGAAAGAAAAGGCAGATCCTGTGGCCACTGGCTAGCTGAACCTGTGGCCTTCCACATCTATGTGAGATCTATGGACTTTTCCCTAACCAGCATTCACTTATCAACTGTGACCCCCTAGTGTTTAGCTTTTAGCCCTTAGCATGTACAACAGGGCACACGTGAAATGTAAATCCCCATCCTGTGCTGACAGGCCTTGTAGTTATCCTTTATCTTAGCCATAACTCTTCACTGTTTACAAATGGGTTCTGACATTTGTAAGGCACTTTACTGAAGCTATTGAGAAAAAGAACTCTTTAGAAGGTAAGATATTACAGAGTAATAACCAACCTGCCTTTTTTTTTTAACTTGTAGACATTAATCCTGTCATCTTCCTTCCTCTATGAAAATAAAAAGGACGTTTGAGGACGTTGTGCGTTCCCTTCTTGTGTAATGAGTGTGTTTACTTGGTGATTATTCCATATAATAGCGCAGAGCCCTGGGAAGATGCTGGGAGCGTAGACAGGGTCCGGGGAGCATAGAGACAATGCTCATTAACTGGAGATACAGCGCTGCTTCGCCATCGACGCAGCCAGACGATCGCTAATTAGGCACCACTGCCACTGTCTCGTAGGCAATTGACCCTGCGGGTCCCTTCATATGTAAACGACACTGAGACTTTTGTTAAATTCCGTACCTTAGGCAAAAAAATATAATAATAATGTCACGACTGCCGTAGTCAATAAACAGCATCGTCTTTAATATTTCAGTCATCTCCACATGACAGCTTTGTTTGACGGTAATAAAATCCTTTAAAACCTTTATCATCGTCGGTGGCTCTGGTTTTTAAGATGGACCTTAGGTAGGTACGTATACACTAATTGTTTAGAGGGTAATTGTGGCGTTACAGATTTACTGCTCATATTTATGTTTAGTGGCCTACACTGTTAATTCACCCAGAAATGTCCTTCAGTATTCCATTTCTGGCGGGGGGTGGTCACAACTTGTGGGACAAGAGATGTGACTGTCACCTAGCATGAAGAGTGGCATTAATAACTCTGTCAAAGAATTTCATAGCTGCCACAGACCTGGGCCGTTTAGGGTTAAAGAGTGATTACATTGGGAAGTAAATGGAAGGTGATCTTACAGACTCCTGATTTTTCAGGGAAACAAACACACCCCCAGAAGACTCTGTTGCCTAATCTGACGTTGGGCGAGATGGGAGGTGTTTTGGGAATGTTACCCACAATAGTAATGCTTAGGACCTCACAGAGCAATCTGACCTTAAATCTGCATCTCATCAAATTGCCCCATTGGCCTGGGATTGTGCCGTTTCACCCCCCTGTCCTCCCCAGTGGGGTGTATTCATAGAGCAATGTGCTTCAAATGTAAATCACAGGTGACATGGATGAAGATACCTCTGCTCAGCTTTTATACAGTGAGGGACAGGCAAGTCGTGTCACTCTCTGCCCCCCAACAACTATTTAGAATTAGCTTTCCCCTCATCTAATTCTGAGCCGTTAATCTGATCCAGGGTCAGTTACTGAGAGCAAAAATCATCAATATCTTGCTTGGGACTCAATGGACCTAACAAGGTGTCATATGAAAGGCATGTAGGGATTATTATCATTATTACATTGTGTGCTGGATATACAGTACCTGCTTTAGTATTTATTGAATTAGTTCCTGGTTTTTTCCCTGCGCTGGTTTCCCCAGAGGCCGCAGTGTAGTGACTGCTGAGTGTACTCCAAAGCATCCTGCATACGCCATGCTCAACATCATCCCCTGTGACTTCTTCCATTTGCCTGCCATGACCCAGACTCAACTAAACGTGGGATTTTTATGTTACCAGTGATTTGTGCATCCTCGTTATTTTCTCCCCACAAGTTCCACTTTTCCTGTCCGACGGGCCTCTGCCATCCATCGCGTCTGACGTGTTGTTCCATTAGCGTCGTTCGCCTCTCGGGTAATGTGATTACCGCCGGCCCACAGAGTCAGATGAACCTGTAAATTGAAATTTAGGCTCGAGCCTCTGGTGAGTCCTGTCATCAGGCTTCACGGCGAGGAAAAGGAATCAATATGAGCGAAAACACCACTCAGTGTGTGGACATCTTGTGGAAGCCTGGACAAGGGGGTGGGGTGGGAGGGGGACGGGATTTTCAGTCAAAAGGCCAAGGCTCTGCGACTGCTCTGGAAGTCACGCCTAGCTGTAGGATGTGCGTCTAAAAGCGACAGTTTAACCTTCTGTTTCCACATCTGTTTGCTCCTGTTTTAAAAGATCAGATTCACTCTTAAGTTAAAATGTAAAAAGGGTGGTTTTAAAAAGAGGATCTTCTCCTCATTGTGAGTGGGTCAGCCACAGAATATAGCCAGAGCAAAGTTGCAGATCCTTATAAATAACGTTTTGGACACTGTCATGCAACGGCTCACCTCTGGACACTAAATTTACTGACTTCTACCTCTGACACAATAGCCTGCAAAAGACTCTCTGCAACACAACCACATACTGCACCGTTCACTCCGGTCTTTAAGCACTACACCATATTACAATACACTATTACCATAATCCCAGTCCTGGTTAAATCACTAAATGATTTCATTGGAGACCATATTATCAACAGAAATTCCTAAGTAGCCAAAGTCATTAAACTTGCATGACAATGGTTGCATAATGGACAATAGCACTACATCTAGCTCTGGTATTAATTACGCTGCTACCATCACGACTACTATTACTAATAATAGTCAATGGATAGCAAGCCCTGTAATTAAGCATTTAATTGTAGCGTTAATTGCTTACGGTGTGGGCTTCCCAGAGGATTCCCTTTGGCCCTTACGCCCCGCCCCTTTTCCGCGGAGCTGTCCAGCACAGCAGAGCCTGTAAATACCGGCACACGGCGCCGCAGCGCTCACTCCGGCTGCATGTGGGAGACGCTACTCACGCTGGGGAAAGTTTTCATTAAAATGCCACTCATACAGACGCATCTTTCTGATCGCTTTTAGGACAGCAAATGACTTATAAACACCACAGCTTATAATGTTGAACCGATGCTGTACTATTCCCTGAATCACTCGTCCTGGTGAAACTTTTCAGAAAATATGATCTGGGGTATTTTGATATCATGTTTTTTAACTTGCGTCTTTGGAAATAAAACGGAGGATCGGGTGCCTTTCTTCCACGGGCATGTTTTTGAGAACTCGCCGGTGGGGTCTAAGGTGAACGGACTGAGCATCCCGGTAAAAAGGACTGACGCGCAGAGCCGGTGCCCTAAGACGGCCATGCACCTGAAGGTCCTGGGGGAAGGCAGCGAAGACTTTCACGTCCTTGCCCACCACAAACGCGGCCACATTTTGCTGAAGACCTCCAGGATCTTGGACAGGGAGAAACGGTCTGAGTACCTGCTGCGCGTCTGCTTATGCTGCCAAAGTTGCGAGCCGACGGACTGCGCGGTGTCCGAAGTTGCCCTTGTTAAGGTGGACGTGCTGGACACCAACGACCATGAGCCGACTTTTCGCGATGAAGGTGTGAAGATCACTCTGGACGATGTCACCGCCCTGCGGTCCGTGGTGTACAAAGTTGCGGCAGAAGATGGTGACAGTGGCAAGAATGGAGAAATTGTTTATTTCTCTAATCCAAAGAACGGCAGTTTCTACGTGGTTCCAAAAACTGGGGATGTCCTGCTGGTGGACTCCATTCTCGGCGTGTCGAAGCCGATTACATTCAATGTTTTCGCAAAAGACCATGGCTGGCCCTGCCGCACCAGTCGGAATTTGGAGATCCAGATATACCCGAAGCAATGGTCAACTATCACACTGGGAAAACTTGGCAGCAGCTTCTCTCGGAAGTCCAGGTCCTTGCTGGAGCCGGACGATCCCATCGTTATCAGGGTGTCGGAAGATGCTAGCATCGGTTCGGTTGTGATGAACCTGAACCCAGTGAGATTTCCGACTGCCACCTTTGAGCTGGTGTTTCCAGCCCCGGAAAACTCCCCGGTCAGCGTGAGTCGGGACAGCGGGGAAATCGTCATTGTCAGGCGCCTCGACAGGGAAACGGAGCCCAGGGTGGATATTACTGTTAAAATTCAAGATAAGCGAGGTGAGTTTCATTTCGAAATTTTTCACTGATGAAGAGAAACTCAGCTTCGCCTTTTTTCGTGGGCTTTTATATTTTTTTAAGTGTATTGAAGAGTTTCCTTTTCACACCCAATAACGTTTGGCACCGATAAATTAGCCTAATTAGAAAAGTCAATCTGTGTTTTTAAGACAAATTTAATCCTATTAATAGTGTGGGAATGTGGATATACTTAAATGTTAAAATGTCTATATAGAATTGACTGTAATTAGTCATATTCGTATTTTAAAGCAGTCAAGAATTTAGGGGCCAGCCTACAGTAGTTTGTTTAACATCAGGTGTAATTAAAATATTATGTAGTTATAATCTTCGCTTATTAGACCGCAAATCATGTCTAAAAACGACAACAACTTAATCCCCTCTTTCGTGGCATTTATATATTTACGGTTCATGCTGAACCTGCCTAATATTATGCTAATTAGAAGCTGTGTTAGCCTATTAGGCGGCACCTTAAACCTGTCCCAGTATTACCCAGGCAGTCCAAAGCCCGTCCCGGAACACAGATTAGCATGGAAATTACTGAAGCGAAGGGCTTATGATAGGCCTGCTGTAGTGACATGGAGGAAATAACAGCAAGCATTTTCAGTTTTATTTAAATTAATTTTGAAGTGCATTAAAGTTGTGGAAGAACGCGACGAAGATGGGCCTTTAGTCCATTCCACTAATTTTTAATTTCCGCTAACGATGACCTAATTGCTAGGCACGCGCTGGACTTAATGATTAAGAAAGCTTAACATTGTACATTTTTATCAATGTTTACAGCTTGCTGTGTAATTCTCTGTTAATACAGCAGCAGACATCCTTACATCCTTTAAACAGCTTACTAAACCAGTGTGCTCCCTATAACATCGAGGTAATGTTATTTGTACGAATTTATTCATTTAGGCCTATTAGCATTATAATGAACATTTACAGGGGATGTACATGACTGTATTCATTAAGCCAGATACAGCCTTTTGCCATTTAATGCTTTTAAATGTCGCTGTATTATATTTTGATTCACTGATACATATGATTTTATATAATATTATATATATAATACTATATAACATTTACCCCCTAACCCTATTATAACAACAAAAAGCGTCGGTCTCATGTTTTTCTAAAAACTTTGTCCCACTAAAGACCATCATGCATAGTCTGTCTTTTCCTCAGACATCACTGGGTGTGTATTTTTTCATGGGTAGCTATAACAGCGGCTGCATGGAGATAGTGTGTGTGTGTGTGTGCGAGTGTGTGTGAGAGAGAGTCACAAACAGCACAACAGTCGGTATACTAAGGCTGAACTGTCCCCACATGATGTCCTGAGAACAAATCATGTGGTTATGATCTCCATGAGAATGAATATAAGACTTTCGAATGAAACTTTGAATTAGGACCGGAAACTAAATCACTAAGGCTATGGCATCATCATATGTGTTATTGCACTTTTGCATGTAACAAATAATCACATACATGTCATTCTTTTAAAATGCACGGTTTTGCACGTCAATGACATTTCCATTACATGAATGATGTGCCGTAACGACATTTGGGATTTATAATCGTGCACGACAGACCCTTCTGGCTTAGCATCAATGGATGCCATCATCTTGAATGTTGTAAGGTGCACAGCACGGGTGTTTAAAGTGCACATGAGAACCTGGCCATAGTGGCGGCAGTGATTGTGACAGCGTAATCCTAAATGACCACTGAAATGGTCGTCGGCTGTCTGGGAGCTCACAAATCCATCCCGCAGACTTAAGGCCTTTAAAGTTTAATTTCAGCCTGGGTGCGAGTCCAGCCGCACTGCGAAGTTCGCGTTGGGTTTAATCCATTTTTAGCGGAGATCCTGCGCAACCTTTTTTCATCTGGCGGCATTAGCCGTGTAATCCTCTCATTCACTTTCTTATTTTGCGGATTTGGGAAAGCAGCGCGGTTGTCGGAAAGCTGGCAAATTCCTTAGGGTGTGAAAGGACAGTTTTTTTTATTAGATCACCATTTCTGTGGAGTATCCACCTGCATTACGAGCGGTGTGGGGAAATGCCGTGTCTCGGTTTGGGGGCACGCCTGTGCTTTCAGCACCAACCCCCCCCCGGGCCCGTAATGTCTCTTGGGACCTGATTAGTGCTTCTGTGCGTGCATAAGCGTGCTTTTCTCTTTGGAAACACAGCCTATCAATAATGCAAATAAACTATTTTACTAATAATGTGATAGTTAGACAAAATCACCTCTTAACACTCTAAATCTTTTATGTTCAGTTCTATCCATGCATCGTTTTGTTCGTTTACCCTGCCGTCACCACTACTGTTGGTAACACCAGTTTGCATCCTCCTCATATAGCCAGACGGTAAATTGTTATGGTGACTGGAAAGGCTGCTGGCTAATCTCTCCCTCACTCTCCATGTATAATCATCAAATATCCCCCCTGCAGTCCTCGATGCTCTCATGTTTATAACTGACCCCAGGGAGTTAGTAATTCAGACTCTACTCTCCATTAGGTGACCAGAATGGGATGTTGTCTCACAACTGATCGTCCCTTCTGGACGTCCCTATTCCAAAGGGAATGGCCTCATTCCATTCTACCTTAATTTTCACTGGGGCAGGCAGCAAGACGGATATCTCGTCTGATTAACCTTGCCAGCTCAATTATTCCCCATCCACAGGGCTGTCAGATCCAAGTCCTCCTGTCTCTTAATTATTCGCTAAAGCTAAAAGCTGGACAAATGCTATCTTATGAATTCGTCTTCTCCTCACTAGCTACAGGTGTGGGTCTGTCTAACTGATATGCACCAAGGGCGCAGGAGTGGATGGCTGTAGGAGAGATCGGAAGGGTGGGGGAACGTGTAGATGTGCGTGCGCCCCCCCCTCACTAGCCTGCTTGTCCCTGGAGACACAGAAAATGAGAAAAAGAGGATGACTAACAATGACTTCTGCCAATGTCTCTGTTTCTCTTGTCTCTTGTGTATCTTTTAATGAGGTTCAATTGGAGCAGAAGTTGTTTCGTCGCTGGTACATGTTTCCTCTTTGCTCTGGCGGAATTGCTTAATCTGATTGCAGGGAGTTGTGGAACTGGTGAAGTGCACTGAGGGAGCATAAGGATTATGTACGTGGCTTCCTTTATGTGAGCGGGAGTGCGTGCCAAGCACTGACACGCGCGTGCAAACACGCAGGCATGCACAGCTGCACGGTCCCACAAAGGCATCATGAGGCACATGCTTTTATGTGCAGCCACATGCATTTTAATACAAAAAAAAAAAAACACAATCAGCTTTTGACAGCCCTTTACTCCTGCTGGGTTTGAGATGTTTTGTTTGCAAAAATGAAGCACAGGATGGAGATGAGTGAGCTCACATAGAGACAAAGCAATTGAAACAAGCAGTAAGGATATCGACTTGATAATTTGTCTTGTATTTTCGAATGCTGTTTTTTTTTTAAGTCAAAGCACAAGACCAGGCGAATGGGTGAAATAGCAGGACAGTGAATGTGGCATTGAGACTGGAGCTAGGGTTTTAAACCCCCCCCCCCCCCCAACCACTAAAATCTGAGGGAAAACCATAATCCATTTCCAAATGGTCACATACACGCAAAGGGAGCCCAGGGTTTATCTCGTCACTACGATCCCTGCTGTCCACACCTGCCTCGCTTTCTTCACCACGTATTGTTACCGATGACTAGTCTGACTCCAGCAAGTGACTCTCCTCCTCCGATCTGCCCCGCTGAGTGAAACGTCCCCGCTTTTTAGCCAGGTCGGCGTTTATGGCTTTGCCAAATGATAACCCAGACGGTTTGGAACGAATATTTACCATGTAATTGTATAAATGAGGGATGCCATGAAAAGGAAAGGCAGCCAGTCGTGATTTTCTGGGTACATATATTCCACCATGTTTTCTGTGCGTGTCAGACTTGGGTGTGTTCTTTTTGTCCCCCACCCCCAACAAAACCCCACCATATTGGCTGGCATGCTGAGATGGGTCGCAACAATGTCATGTCTGGGATTTCCGTTCCCCCCCCCCCCCACCTACTGAACAGCAAGGATCGATCTGCAATTCTGTGTGAAAGCAGCCACATTAGCATCCCCTCGCCCCCAGTTTGAGCCCATCTGTCCCTGAAAAGGGAGCATTTACAGCAAAGCTCAGTTTGCTATTGAAATACCTGCATCGCATTGTTCTGCTCTCCAATCCCAGCCCTGAAAGAGAGGGAGGGCAGGGACCTGTACAGCTTTCACCTCATCTTAGATGGCTCTGGTGCATCACTGGTGAGAGCTTCACACTCCCAATGTGAGTCTCCATGCTGTGCCCTCCCACCTGCACTCTTGTTCTGTCTCGTCGTATCTTCTCTCTTTTTCTCTTACCCCGATCCCCCTCCGCTCTTCCATCCCGTACCCCCTCCCATGTCACGCCTACCTCTTCTACTCTCTGTCTCTTGAAATATTCAAATGCGGCTGGGAAATTCAAAAGCACACCGGGGTGAATCCGTGCCGTCTCGCCGGTCCGCCGTGCTGATCTCGCTGTGTGAGCGGAGCCTTAGCGGTAAAAACCTGCTCAGCTCATTTTTACCCACCTCCTAGCTGACTGGCTGCCGTCGTTTTGTACACGTTGGCTGAGAACGGTGGGTAGGATCACTCTGTCCACGTTCATTTAAAATCAAAGTCGGACTGACCGAGTCGAAAGCACATTGACTCGAAGCAAGATATGCCAAAATGAATTCCAAATGTGTACTTCAAAGCAATATGAACATCAGACTGTTTCATGTGCATTTTATTCTGTATCTCATATATTTTATTAAAGGACTCATACAGCTTACATTACTTAGGTTTTATGGATATTTATACATATAGATTCAATTTTGACAGCATATGAGTATACATTCATAGAATATAGACTTGCTCAACAATAATCCATTTTGCTTTAAAAAGTGTTATAATGTACTTCTAATATGACAAGAGCATTGAGAAATGCATGAGCTCATCACCTGTTTCGTCT